ATCAGGTGGAGTTGATCTTGAGGTGGCGTCTACTTTGTTGCCTCGTCCAGTAGTTTGGGAGGACGCTACCGTTGTGCTCGTCTTCTGGATAATTGGCAGGGACGAGTCCGCTGTTACTCTATCTCCCTCACTCGCTTTCTGTGGTACCAGAAGGTGATGGGGAAGTTACTGCTCGGTTAGCGTCAGGTAAAGCCTGGCTTGAAGTGAGTTTCACTTCTTCACCTTGTCCAGTTACCTCGGAAGGTGAAGCAGTGGTGACGAGTCCATGGGCATTCGTAAGGGTTGACTCTGTGGGCACACTTCCTTCTTCCGTAATTTTCAAATTTTCATTGGGTTCCCTGGTCTCAGGAGTGGGTACAGTGGAAGACTGCTGTGCAGCGGGCGATGTTATGGCGGAGGTCGCTTTGATTCGTTCGCCTGGTCCACTAGCCTTGGAAGGAATTTCAGGGGTCGCCGAATGCTGACCATTCGTCGAAGTCGGCTCTGAGGTAACCTCAGCTTCTGTGGACCCAAAAGGCAGTGCAGAGGTCAATGTTCTATCGCCATGCGGTGGAGTCGATTCAGAAGTCACACTGACTTTGTCGTCAGACTTGGTGACCTCTGACGAGCCAGGTTCGATTGTTCGCAACTGTTGTGCATCTGGTGTTGAGGTGACATCAACTTCATCGCGAGGTCCGCTCACCTCAGATGGTGCTTCGGAGGTTGGTAGCCCGTGGACATCAGTGGTTGAGCTGATCTCTCTGGTGACGTGTGCACCCTCTGATGTTGAGGATGGTGTGGAAGTACCTTGTCGCTCTTCTCCAGTGCTTTTGCTCGTTTTCTCCTGAGCTCCAGTCACCGGTCCTGTCGACTCTGTTGAAAGACCACTTTTCGCAGTAGTGGTCTCACCAAGTGGATCTGTTGAGGTCCGGCCGGTAGGCGATGTCATTCTGTCCATCGCCGAATGTGGTCGTTCGGTCGCTGATGTGGTTGTACCGACTACTGCCTGCGACGAGCCAGTTTCATTAGACCCCTTCTCGACTTTGAGTCTCCCACTTACTCGGTCTATTTTTGCTTGAGGCGATTTCGAAGATACTGCCCCGTGTGTACGTGGCGAGGACGCCTCTGAAACACTCCCACTCGTAGTTGCTGAAGAGTGAGCCGTATCGTTGGGTACCGTTGTTGAAGAACCGGCATTTCCATTGCCGCCTGTAGAAGTCGGCTCCTTCTCCTTTGGTCCGCTTGCTCCTTCCTCAGGTGCAGTGCTTCCGACTCTGGTCAGGCTCTGATCTGTGCTTGTTGGAGGCCCTTTCTCGTCACTTCTTGGCGTTTTACTTATTGTTGTGGTTGCACCGCTTTCAGACGGTGTAAGGCCTTCTTTACCAGCCATTTTTGATGTATCTGCTGTCGATTT